TATAAATATATAAGCTTATAAATATAAATATTAATTTTTTTCTTATAAAATATTAGTTAATTAATAACTAAAATTTTAGTTAATTAGTTTTTTAGTTTTAGTTACTAATTATTAACTAATTAACTAATATTTTAGTTTAGTTTTAGTTACTAAAAAATTAATCCTTAGTAACTAAATTAGTAACTAATTTACAACCCTGCTTACAGCCTGCTATTAAGCTTTAATTTTATAATAAAATATTCTATATTTAATAATATATTATTTATATTAAAAATAAAGCTAAATTTAAAGTTAAATAAACTATAATAAAGTTTAAATATAATCTTAAGTAAAATTATATTTTATATTATATTTTAAAGAAATATATACTTTATTATAAAAAATAGGCGCGCTACTTTATTAAATAATATTAAAATTTTAATTAAAAAGTTAATAATTTTATTAAAATAGCTTATAAAAATATTAAATCTTTTTTAATCTTAAGTATAAGCAACCTTTTTTATCTTTATAATATAATCTACCTTATGCTTATAAAAAAATTATAATTAAAATACTGCTTAAATAACTATATAGCAGCAGCAGTACTTTATTTAATAATAACATTAGCTAAGCAATATTTTTATAATAATTAGCTATATTATTATAAATTTTCTTATTAAGCAGTATTACCTAGCTATTACTATAATACCTTTGCCTTTAATGCTTTTCTTTAATTAACTAAAGCTTTATAATAGCTTTTTTTTTATAATAATATACCCTCTTTTATACTTATATTATCTTAAAAATATTAAAAAATAATAAAGTATTTTATAAAAAAAATATTTATTTTTAATAATAATTAACTAAGCCTTTAATATAATTCTTTAATAATTTTTATAAAAATTTTATTAAAAAAAACTAAAATATAAAAAAGCCCTTGCTTTAAATTTAAAATTTTAATATTATTTAAACTATCTATAGCTAACTTTACCTTTTTAATAATAAAAAAATAATTATATTTTAAATACTTTAGATTAATAATTATTAAAATAAAGCTTAATAGATATAGGTAATGCAGGTAATATAATAGCAGCAGCAGTAGCAGCAGCTAAAGCAGCAGCTTAAGGCATTATACTATTTAAATTTAAACATGCGCTATAATTTATTATAATTTAAAGTTAAAGGTAAAATAAAGTTATTATAAGCTTTATTTTAAGGCTGCAGTTATAGTTACAGCTATATAGCTTTATTATAATTAACCAGGAGCTTTTAATTATATATAAACTTACAGGCAGTAAGAACTATAATATAATAGCCCTGGGGATTAAAAAAGAAGGCATTTATAGTAAATTTAATAGCTATTGCTGCTATAGCATTAAAAGTAAAAGAAATTATCTCAGTTACTTAACCTAAGGCCTTATAGGCCTAAAATAAACTAAATAAACTAGCTAGCCTATAATAATATATATAAATTATATTAAAAATACTAAAAATATATTTTTTAAAAAAATTAAAATAAATTAATATCCTTTAGCTTATATAATATAGTATTTTTTTAATAATATTATATTCTAGTGCCTTATACTATATTTTAATAGGCAGGTATAGAAATTTAAATTAAAGGGTTAATCTAGTTAAAGGCATAGGCCACTATAGTTAAATAAAAATCTTTTACAGTCTAAATAAAAGGACTCTAAATTATACTTTTTATATTTAATCTATAGCTTTTATTAGCTTTACTAATTTAACTAGCTTAACTAATAAATTTAATAGTTTAATTATATATAATCTTATAGGTTCTGCTATTATTTAGCTATACTTATATTATAATAATTAAATTTAAAAGCTTTTTATATTTTAATAAATATTTTTTTAATATTTTAATATATTTAATTTAATAGCATTTAATATATTAAAACACTGCTTTTTTTTTCTTTTTTTTATATATTTAAATATATTTAACTTTTATTAAAACACTGCTTTTTTTATTTTTTTATATATTTAAATATATTTAACTTTTATTAAATATTTAATTAAAAAATACTAGACTTTTTTAATAGTATTAAATCTTTAACTATATTAAGCTTAATTAAATAAATTAACTTTTTAAAGCACTAAAGATATTAATATAAATAAAAATATAATAAAAGAATTTATTTTTATTTTTATAAAATTTATAAATAAATATAAAGTAATTTTAAAAAATTATATAAATAACCTAATATAAATAACTAAAAGCAAAGAATTTTTTTTTATAAATATTATTATTTTTTAATTTTATATAATACTTTATATAAAATCTAGCTATATATATTTAAATATATGTTATTTAAAAGTTTAATTAGTGTTTTAACTTACTGTTTAACTTAATTTATTTATAACTTTAATAATTAATTAAATAATATTTACTTTATAGCTTACTATATATTAAAAGAATTTAATATAAATTTCTTAATGTAAAATTTAAATAATAAATAAATACTTTTAATATAAAATATAGCTATATTATTAAAGTATATATAGTAATAAGTATTGCTATTCAGGCAGTAGATTTTTGCTATTCGGGCAGTATGCCTACCTTACCAAGCCTAATTAGGCCTAGGTTTATGTAACCTATCTTTTTACACTAAATTACAGTGTAAAGTCCTGGCAGCTAAAACTATATACAAAGACCAGACAGTAGTTATTAGGTACTATAGCTAGAAATGCAAAATAAAGCTATTGCAACTGTATTTTCTAGGGCTCTATTTGCATTGCCGGGATAACTTCCTTAACCTCTGCAGCAGCATCTGCAGTGCTGCTTTCTTCTATAACTGCAAGGCGTTAAGTGCCTTAAGTGCCTTAAGTGCCTGAGGCCCGGCCGCGGCCTCTCTGTCTTCCTCCTCAATTTCCTCGGCCTCTATTGCTTCCTGCAACTCATGATCGCTTTAGCCTCGTCTGCAAGGCTCCCTGACTAGCAGCTTCAACCTCTGCCGCCGTTTGAGTGCGCCATATGCTTGAGGGTAGTCTTCGACCGCCCGGTTGACTAGAGGTCGGCAGGGAGGGCGTTGTAATCGGCTGCAAGTTGCAATTAACGGGAACTCTGCTATTCTGAGGCAATCTCGGCCGGCCTTGTAGATTCTTAACGACATCTGGGTCTTGGATTTAAAGTAGCGGCTCGTTTAGGTCTTAGGACGCCGGGTTAGTAGACTTTATATAGAAAATTGCAGGGAGAAATACCAAGGGCTTGTTTAGCTACCAGCGCAGGTGGATAACTTCCTTTGTTAACGGCGCTCCTTTTAAAATTACCTTTTTAGTGATATAATAAATATAAGGCATTGCGTATTGTTGTATGAAGTAGCATAAAGTTGCATACGGCGGCAGCGTTTTATTTTCCTTTACAGCAGCCTTAGCGTAGCAATACTGCCGAGCAAGAAGATTAACGGCAGCATAGCTAATTTGCATTAGAAGCGATCTTAGCCAGGTCCGGCTGATGTAGTCCTGCTGCAGCTTAACCTCTTGCCTTGCGGCTGTTTAAAGATAATCTTGCTCTTTTTTTGCGATTATTTGCACAAAGGCTTTATGAAGGTGAAGGAGATTGCCTGTGCCAGTCAGGAGATATATTTTAACATCCTTATGGGCTGTTTTTGTAGGACTATTTGTTCTTTGACTGAAATTTTAATAGCGTTTAATGCAGCACTGCAGAAATTAATTAGCAATAGGGAGATACTTGCTGATGAGATAGTTAACGATGGCCTTTTGGCGGTTGCTGTAGGTGAGGAGGAGCTGTGCCCAGGCTGCCTTGAAGTTATTTTCTTCCTCAGCATATATAACCTTATTTTAAGCCTTTTTGAGGTGTTCTTTGCTGTAATCTTCTTCTTCCTTATTGCTAGGATCTGCAGTGGCCTCTAAGGCGGTCTCTGTGGCCTCTGGGGCAGTAAGTTTATTAGCATTAGGGTTAAATGCCTTATTAGAGTCGTCATTCTTCTAACGTAAGGTTATTTTAGCGTGGACATTTGCGTTGACGTAATAAAGGCAGACTTGCTGCTGTGCGTCTGGAAACATGCGTTTTAATGCGTTTTTCAGTGCCTTTTCCTTATTAGTTATAACAACAGAGGGCGGAGGGACCTGAAGTTGCTGCCAGAAGTCGTCTAAATAGTTATATAACTAATTATAGCCTTCCTGACGCTCTGTTTTAATTAACCTAAAGGCAAAGTTTGCAATAGAGTTCTGATCTATAACACCAGTGACCTGAAAAAGGTATATTTTGAACCTGTTTATCTTATATATATTATCTAGGCCGAGAACTTCTGGGAAATGCTTCTACATTGCTTTGCACTAAGGGTAAGTCTAAAAGACTGCCTTAACCTTATAATCCTTGTTATAGCTAATGAAATAACAAAGGTTGTGCTGTTGCAGGAGATTAACCCACTGCTGCGTTAGGGTAAGGCCGCCGAGCTTTAATTTCTAAATTGTCTGATGGTTGTTATAGATATCTTTGGATTGAAAATAGGAAGCGCCTTTAGTCTGCGACCTTATAATCTCTCCCATCTTGCGGGCGGGGAGGGCCTTGTGCTCTGACAGCGACTTTTTGATCTTTTGTTGCTTTTCCGTACGGTGGCAATGGATACTATGTGCTAATGGATTAAGGGAAGCTTTATAATTATAGCGGCCTTCTAGGACATGAAAAGTCCACTTCTAGTTGGCTTTCTTTAATGCAGAAGCTGTGATTTTAAATAGGCAGTTAACTTTGCTTATCGTTGCCTTTCTAATGCCTGAACTTTAAGAGGCTCGGCGAGCGCTGCAGTCATATAATATTAAATAGAAAGTCAGGATAACTGTGCTATTAATGTTAACTTTATTACTAGGCGACTTTTTAATGATTGCAGCGCTGTAATTATAATAATAGCTCTGCAATAAGTTAAAGAGCTCATTAAAGGAGTTATATTGTTGTACTGGCGGCGGCAAAGGGATCTCTTGAGCTAGGGCTTCTGTAAGACTTGCGGCAGCTTTAACTTTATCTTTAACTTTGTCTTTAATGCTTAGGATAGCTTTATTTGTGGCATTTTCCTCATAAACTTTATCCTTAGGGGCGTCAGCAGGCTGAGGGCTATCTTTAACGTTATATAGCCAGGCAGAATTATTATTAAGGCCGTTGAGGAAGTCTTTAAAGGATAGTGCCTGTTCTATTGTGATCCTAATAGGAATTTAAAGTTGCAATATTATGATATAAAGTTATGATGTTTATTTGTAATTAATTTTGTATATTCTAGTGCACTATACTGTATTTTAGTGGGCCGGCCTGGGCCCTACTGAACCTAGCTAGAAATGGCCTAGTCGGGTTAGAATACTGCCTGAATAGCAAAAATCTACTGCCCGAATAGCAATACTCATAGTAATTAACCTAAGCTTTAATAAGCTTTTTTTTTATACAACTTAAGCTATTATATTTTAATATAAATAACTTCTTTTATATAATATAAAATATATTACTTTTTAAATTTTATAATTTACTTTTTAATTTTTTTTTTAATTAAAAAGTTTATAATAAAAAATTAAAAGAGTATTGCTATTCAGGCAGTAGATTTTTGCTATTTAGGCAGTATTCCCACCTGGCCTAGCCTAATATAGCCTAAGCTTATGCAGCCCAGCTTTTTACATTAAATTATAGTGTTAGGTTATAAAAGGTAAAACAGTATATAGTTAGCTAGAAGGTGCAATTTAAAGCTATTGCAACTTTAATTAACCGGCTGACTGCAATTAATCTAGGTGACCTTTATTAACGCAGGTAGCTTTAAACAATCCCGTTGACCTTGATTGAGCCGGTTGACTGCAATAAATGCAGGCGCCCTTAATTAACCTAGGCAGTCCTGATTAATGCAGGCAACTTTAAATAACCTCATTGGCCTTGTCGATCTCAATTACACTGGTTAACTGCAGTTAAACTAGGCGGCTTCGGTTAAACAAGGTGACCTCGAACAATCCTATTGACCTCTATTAAACCGGATGACCTCTATTAAACCGGATGACCTCTATTAAACTGGATGACCTCTATTAAACCAGATGACCTCTATCAATCTAGGCAGTCCTGATCAATCTAGGCGGCTACAATTAAACTAAATAAAGCAGCAGTATTCTTTTATAGTAAATTCTATATATCCCAGTGCATTATACTGTTTTTTAATAGGCTGGCTTAAGCGCTGCTGAATCTAGCTAAAATAGGCTAGTCTAAGTGGGAATACCGCCTGAATAGCAAAAATCTACTGCCTAAATAGCAATACTTAATTAAAATTAATAAAATATATTTTAATTTTTAAATTTTATTTTTTTATTACTGCTATATTTTTAATATAATAATTAAGTATTTTTATAAAATAAAAATTAATTAATATTACTATAAAATTACTTTATTAATATATTAAATATAAAGTAATAATTATATTAATAAAAATATTATTTTTATAGTATTTATATAAATAATATAGTAATTAATTAATACTATAAATAAATATTTTATATTATAAATTTTATAAATTAAAGTTAATTTAATATTTAAAGATAATCTTTTTTTACTTTTGTATTAAAAAATATAAATATAATATAAAAGATTATTAATAAATATTAATATTAATTATATTAAAAAAAATATATAATATTTAATAGTTTTATAAATTTAGTTTAATAATATTAAATTAAAATATATTTGAATATTTTAATAAATTTAAATAAATAAAAAAAATAATAGTTATATAATTATTATTATTAAATTATATTTAATTTTAAAATCTTTTATTATTTAGCTAATTAATTAAAATATAAATTAAACTTTACTCCTTATATACTTTTTATTTATTATATATAATATAGTTATAAATATTTTACTATATTAAAAAGCTATTATTATTTTAATATAAATAAATTTAAATATTTTTAAAGCTATATTAGCTTTTACTAGCTTTTTAAAATTTAAATTTTATTTTACTTTAAGTTTATAAAAAATTAAATAAATAAATAAACTTAATAAATAATTATATATTAAAAACTATTTATTTTAATAATATTATATACTTTAAATTATATTATTTAAAAACTTTTTTATATATATTAAAAATTAATAATTAATTTTATATATAAAAGTTTTTTATATATACTTTTTTAAAATACTTAAAGGCTGCTAGAATTAATTATATATATATATAGTAATATATTTACTGCTTTTTTCTTTTATTAATTTATATATTATAAATATATAGCCTTAATTTATTACTTAAGTATTAATAAATTTAAATAGCTGTTTATATAAGTTATATTACTGCTTTTAAAAAAGATAATTATTAAAAAAATACTTAATTATAATAAAAGTATTATATAAAAAGTTAAAGTTAAATGTATAAAAATAATAAAAAAATATAATTTTTTATATTTATTTTATATTTTTACTGTTATTTTTATTAATTAAAATTATAACAATTAAGTAATAAATTTTATATATATTAATTATAAATTATACAATTTAATTTAAATATATATTTTAATATAATTATAATATAAAGTATTATTAAAATTAAATTATTTATTAATTATATACCTTTTTCTTTAAGCTTTTTTTTTAATATTATTACTGCTTTTTTTTATTATATTTTTTTTATATAATAATTTTATTATTATAGTTTTTTTAAATTTAATAAATTTTAATAAAAAAATATATATTTTATTAATAATTAAAGATATTAAAAGTAATATTTTATAAAAAAAGTTATTAAATAAAGCATTTTATAATTAAAACTTTATTATTTTACTAGCAGCTAAAATATAAAAAAAATAAATAAATAAAAGTAATAGTTTTTTAATAAATAAAAAATATACTTTATTAATTAAATTTATATTTAATAATATTTAAATATTATATTTATATATTAATAAATTAAAGAATTTATAAAAAAAGCTTTTAAAATAAGTAGTAATAATTAATTATTTAAAAAAAAGTAAAAAGATTTTATATATAAAAATCCTAAAGTTAAAAATAATAAAAGTAAGTTTATTAATTTTAAATATATAAATAAAGCTATATTTAATAATCTTAAGGATTTTATTTAATATTTTTATATATTTTTAATAATAAAATTTTTTATTTAAATATTAATATAATATAAATAAAATTAATATTTTAAAAGGCTATAAAGATAATAATTTAATATTTAATAGCGCTAAAATAAACTATATAATAAAGCAGTAATTTAAATTATATTATTAAATTATAATTATTAAATATATTGTAATAATTAAAAAAGCCTTTATATTAATTATTATTTAAAACTTAAGTAATTAAAATTAATAATTTTTATTAACAATTATTTTTTTTTAAAGTATTACTATTCAGGCAGTGTATTTTTACTATTTAGGCAGTATGCTTACCTTATTAAGCCTAATTAGGCCTAAGTTTATATAACCTATTTTTTTATATTAAATTATAGTATAAAGTCCTGGCAGCTAAAACTATATATAAAGGCTAGATAGTAGTTATTAAGTATTATAGCTAGAATTATATAATAAAGCTATTATAACTATATTTTCTAGGGCTTTATTTATATTATTAAAATAACTTTTTTAACTTCTGCAGTAATATCTGCAGTACTGCTTTTTTTTATAACTATAAGGCCTGGCTGCAGCCGCAGCCTCTTTATCTTTTTCTTTAATTTCTTTAGCTTTTATTACTTTCTATAACTTATAATTACTTTAGTTTTATCTATAAGGCTCTTTAATTAATAGCTTTAACCTCTTCTGTTATTTAAATATACTATATATTTAAAAATAGTCTTTAATTACTTAATTAATTAAAAATTAATAAAAAAGGTATTATAATTAACTATAAGTTATAATTAATAAAAACTTTATTATTTTAAAGTAATTTTAATTAATTTTATAAATTTTTAATAATATTTAGGTTTTAAATTTAAAGTAATAGCTTATTTAAATTTTAAAATATTAAATTAATAAACTTTATATAAAAAATTATATAAAAAAATAAAGATTTATTTAGCTATTAGCATAAGTAAATAACTTTT